TAACACCTTTGTATGCATATCCATGACTTCAGGAGAATGATTGTCAGCATTGATACTTTGCAAAATATTTGCCAAACAGTCATGGTGAGGCAGACTTCCAGGATATATTCACACAGTTGCCAGTAGCGTTAATTTTGTTGATATTTTGTTTGAGGTATTTATGTCTCAGAGAAATCTAGAAGTCATAGGATTATACTATGGAATCAACCAAGAGATGCAATTAAAACAGCTTAAATAGTTTTTGTTTTGCGGAATGCCAGAATTCAGGACTTTAGTCGGTTAAATATGTAAGAAGCTGGATCAAATCTAGTGCAGCAGCACTTTCCAGTTCCCAGACTATTTTGCTTTAAAAACTATGCTATTTCTTTCTTTAATTCATATCAGATATAAACTCCTTAATTTATTTGTGTATTAGGACAACTATGAAACCTGTTATATTAAAATACGCATTTTATGGTTTTAAAGATGGCATTTTCCTGTCGAAGCAGTTCAGAAGGTGGTTTTTGAGTAAAAAAAAATGCTTTCACAATAATGTGGTCAATTCTTATATATGAAAATTATGTTCCAATATAAACATCCTTGAGTTCTGTTTTCCGTAAGAGAATGAAAAAGGGAGTAGTCTTTTTTCTAAGCTTACCAGAAACAAAACTGTATAGTTGCTAAATTTTCTCCGGCAGTTAAAGGGAAAGGGCATCTGTGGGGCTTATTCTGGAATCCAGTGGCATGCTTTTCAGGATTTGTTCTTGGGCGCTGCAGCACATGTTGCCGCTCTATTAAGTCACATTTATTTCATACTATTTTTAGATTAGAGAAGATTTAATTTTGACTGTGATGAGGAATTGATGATTTTGATGACTTCCAAAACCATATTTTATTGAACAGTGTGGTGACAAAACAGAACTGCAAGTGCTGCAAACTTAAGTGGTTGTTAGCATGAGAAGTAATTGGAAATAACAGCTCTCTACATGAAAACAATTATCCAAAGCTTAAGAGGCTTCTTTCTCAAGTCTGTAACACAATTAACCTCAAAGTTATCTAGTAAAGTGAAAGCTCCTTTCTTTTCATAAAAGAAACTGGTAAAGGTCATGCTATGTGAATAAGAAAAAGAGAATAAAAAACAAGAAAGAGAAATAAGAAAGAGCAGTCCAGTTTCAACTCTGTGTGGCACAGGTCTTAAACTTATGCAGAATGTAGATAGAGATTACACATCTCTTACTATAAATTGATGCAATGCAAGAGCATATAAGGAGAGAAAAAGGGTGTTTTAGTCTGGCCAGAAAGTCTTTAAAATAGCACAGGAAAACAAGAAACTAAAGGAACTTTATAAGGGGCAGGTAAATTTAGGGCAAAAAAGAATGTAACTTATAAAACTTGATTGGCATTAACAAGTGATTACAAATTATGCTTATCAAATATAGTTTTGTCAGACTGCCCTATGAAGGGATCAGTGGGCCAAGCACCTACTCCTGTGGTATACTAAAATAGTTACCGCATAGCAATTATATTTTTGCACCCATAACCTTCAGCTTTTATGCAAAACCAGAAGTATCTGTGTTTTGGCAACAACCTCAATTGTATATATTAAAATATCACAGAGGGAAGTTTACTTCAGATCCACCTCTGTATAGGTACTCTTCCTATTTCTAACTTCTCTAACTGGAAAGAAACTTAAGGTCCAGAACTCCCCTCCCTATTCCAAAATTTGCCAAAGATCTGCAGACTTTGATCAGTATCCAGTCTACTTTGAACACTCTCCTCTTCTGTGTCCAGTGTTATGTATCTAACCTGAGAAGGTAAATAACCTGGGCATTGTCATCAGGAGTTGGTAGCTACAAAATTGAAACGTATTGAAAGGTTTTGGTGTAAGAAATGTGAAAATATTGTTACATAGCAGTATTCTTTTAAGCACTGCAACATTATGAAGAGTGCTATGACAAGTTAGGCTCTGAAATTACCTACTGTGTGTTAAGGAGAAATAAAATTGTAGCAACTGATAAAAACAGAAGGATAATTAAAATATCTAAATAGAGAAAAAAAATCTTAAGGTAAATACAAGTTGATTTATATATATTCCACTATTATGTGCTGTAACCAAAATGATCTTTTTTCATAGTCTCTGTTTATATATATATATTTACAAGTTATTTATTTTCTCACTTAAATAAATGTCAGTGTCATAGCTGTTAAGTCCATAACCTCTTGCATTAATCAGATTATATTTAATATCTAGGGAATTAGAAAGTCTGAGCTGGTTCTTTAATAAATAAAAATGTGTAAAAGCTGTGTAAAATTTCATTGAGAGTGAATAGTCGTGGGACTCAGAAACCAAATAGTCTAACTTCGTATAGATTCAAAAATAAGTGTCCTCAGCCTGTTCTTGGATTACCAAAAAAAGCATGTACATAGCCAAAATGCAGGTAAATCTGAGGTGTTTTCTTGGAATCTCTTACAATGCGGTAAGGTGGTCTGTTTCCCTCTTGCGAGATTCCTGTTGTGAGGAAAAACACCACCACAAGCAACCTTGCTCTTCCTGGGGTTGTTTTTTTGTTTTGTTTTGTTTTGTTTTGTTTTTGTTGTTTTTACTATTTTGAACAATCTTTCACACACATGAAATAAATTCTGCTCTTTATTCTGATGGCAGAATCTTTCTGGGCTCATTACTCATTATATAATTGAAAGAGTAATCTGTTTTCATTCACATTGTTTATAAAGGATGTATAAAGGACAGTTTCTTTTGGATCTTATGTGTTGTTCCTGAGACACATGTCATTCTGAGATGACATTTTTTCCATCCCAATTACCTTGTATAGTATCTAGTTCTTTTATACCAAGTGATCAGTTCCATAAGGGTTTTCTCATATTCTTAATGACTGCTTCCAAGGCTGTGCCATTTCTATGCACAGGTAGTCTATACATGTTATCATAGATCTATGCTATTTAAAATAACAACAGAAAACCCCCTCTGAATCCTGGACTCACTTGGCCTTGAAGATCCACGTGGAAGAGCATGGTTTCTTTTTCTTGAAGGCACAACATTACTTTCATACCCAGGAAGAAATTCATTGTATAGACAATAAGAAAGAACAATTAAGAATTGTTCTTATAAATGGAAATGCCAAATAGAATTTCATCTACAGGCTGTTTTCCTGAATACTCATTCCCCTATGAGTTCTGGAAATTAAATTAGATGAATTGTGTTATTTAAATGAAATACTGAAAAAACTCTGAGCATATAGAAAATACTGTAATCTAGAAGCGTATTTGTCCTTGTTTGTACAACCTTTGGTTAACTGAGACTCCTGCTTAACTGAAAGTTGGTCGTGTCCCCTGACAGTCATATGCATTGTGCATTACTCCCCTGCTTATCCGGAGAGACATCTGAAACCTTAGGAATAATGGAGTTGTGGGTAAGTGGGTGAGCGCTGCGTGAAGCACATTGCTGTCTGGGGACATGACCAACTTTCACTTAACCAGGCATGTCAGTTAGCAGGAAGTTAGAAAAACACATTGCAGGAGATGAAGCGTGTGTGTGTGATTATTAGCTCTCTGCTGTTAGATGGTTTGTATCAAAGTACATATTCAGGAGAACTGCAAAACAAGTCTGCTCTTTGCAATTAACCAGGGGCTGCATGTCATTTGTGCTATGACCTTTTTTTTTGTTAGTTGACCTTAAACGTAGCATAAGTAAACAATAAAAGTCCTTGAAACTAAACATCTGAAGCTATTCTGCAGTATCAGGCTGCTTTTGGTTTATTCATTAAATTCAATTGAATTTTAATTGCAATGTTAGATTCACAGCTGGTTAGGCTGGCTAGGTAGAGCAGCAATATCCCGCAAGCAATTCAAATGTGATAGCATATACGCTTTGTGATCGCAGAGACGTGTGCTCTCAGAGAGCAGTGGTAAAGGTCAAAGATGGCCAATAACAGCACTTCATTTCTGTAGTAGCAGCATCTGTTTAAATGATTGAGTGGCATTCACAAGGCTCTTTGGCTTTGCATTCTGTTAGGAGGATTGCAGCTGTAATACAAGGCTGTTTCTGGGAGGCAGGGGGATGCTTCTGAAAGGCTGACTGATTCCTGTCAGCACAGGTGATCCTCTGTGGGTGAAGGAACTCTAAGGTCATCCTCTGAAAACTCAGCTACCCTGTAGCTACAGAATAATGTGCTGCAGTGTTGCTCTGAGAGGAGGGACTGGCTCTGTGAGTGAAGGGAAGAAGAGCTATTCGCAGCCAGCAAAGCACAGTCAGTGGCTCCTGGGTGGTTTGGATGTCGGAGAATGCCTGAACCTATTGTTAAATATTTGCAATGCAAAAGAGAATCTGTGTCTCATGATGTAGGTGACCAGGAGCTTGGGTGTTGCAGTGAGAGGTGAGGTATACAATAATAGATGAGAATCCAGTGTTGTTATAACTCTAGCAATGGGAGATGAAAATTAAAGTGTTCGGAGTGGTGCTTCCATCTGCCTTCTGGTACTCTGGAGAGAATGGGTCTAGGATAGCAGCACAGGAGAGACTAATATTAAGGACTGCAGCTTCTTACCTCTTTACACATCTCTAATGAGAATATATATTATTTAAGAATTCAGTTAACAACAAATGGGGAAAGGAAGGCATGGAGCATGGCAAGAGAAACAATGTTGGTAAAAATGTGTGTTTAAGTGCATTTAGATCATACCCAGTAGTTTTTACTTGATTTAGAGAAGTACTTAGTGTAGGGTCTGAGAGACTTAGAAATACAGTGAAGTTGACAATAAGAGATACTTTGTCCCTGCAAACAGGGTCTTTAGCACAGACAAGTCAAGCCTTGTCAAGCTGCCACTAAAACATAGGCGTGTGCAGACATGTGGTATAAAATTATTCCTTGGAGCCTACTACTGCATTCTTGGACTTCACGTGTAAGGTTGCATATCTAGATGCTAGTAGCACTTAATACTGCCTTTTAAATCAAGTGTGTTTGTAGATCCTTACTTTCTTTTTTTTTTTTCCTTCCAAATTATAGGATTAAAGAGCCCCTTCAGGACAGTGTAATAGCCACCTATGAAGAACATGAAGATAGTGTATATGCAGTTGAATGGTCCTCAGCAGACCCGTGGCTATTTGCTTCTTTAAGTTATGATGGGAGACTTGTTATTAACAGGGTTCCCAGAGCTCTTAAATATCACATACTGTTATGACTTGTTTGGATCGTGGTGGAGTTGTTATGTTGATGTACACAATTGGTAGGTATCGTTTAGGGGTTGGGGTTTGTTTTGGTTTTTTTTTTCAGGATCTGTTTTTACTAAGTATAAATGATGAAATTTTGTTAATATATGTGCTAATGTAGACACTTTTGTCTTCTGTATTTGCCTTGGAAACTATGATGCATTTTCTGAAGGCTGTTCTAGTTAGATGTTTTGCTGAGGTTTTGGGTTTATTTTGGTTTAGGGGCTAATCACTTTGTCAACTACAGAGTTTCTGGAGATAATGGGTACTTCCCATACTATCACTATATTACTTCAGCTTTATGCAAATATAGTGCATTACAGAGGTATTATTATGCTGATTTAAAAGTGGAACAATGTAGGGTGCATGGAGTAGAAGTGATCTACTCATTTACAAGAATAATATTTTCTTTCTGATGTACGCAGCTTTCTGCTCTTAGCTAGGGCCACGTTCTGCTAATGATTCTGGTCATTCTTCAGTGTTTATAAATACAGTTTGGAATGGTCTTTTAAGGCTTTCTTAATTCAGTCTAATATTTTAGACACTTTTTCTACCATTTTGCATATCCTAAAAAGAAATGCTAATTGTGAAGGGGAAACCATCAAAATATATATTGCATTTAAACCTTATGGCTGTATCAACAAAGTACCATCCTGTAATTTGCAAACTAAATGCAATTTTGAGCTGTGTGTTATTGGAATCAGTAGTAGTCTTTACCAAAATCTCTTGTATACTCATGTAATGTATTATCCCACATTTACAAAACTTGTGTGTGCTGTAATATATTTTGAGGGACTCTGGAGCTATGCCATTGTTAACCTGAAAAATCTCCTTAATATTTGTAAGTAGTCTCTCTTTCTTACCCTTTTGGCTCTGTGCCATTCTGTAGTAAGCTGACATGATGTAACAGGCTTTTTAACTAAGCACAAAATAACCTTTGCTATATCCTACTCTTTGCAATGCCTGCCCCTAGCCATTGGTGACTGTCTTGTTACAGATGCTGAGAACAGGCAGATGCTGCTCTTCAGGAGAATGCAGGGAAATCTTGAAATGGAAGGCATGGTGAAACACGCCTGTATGTGCTGGCACCCACCCTTCTCTTTGCATAGCTTGCATTAAGATGGAAATTCTGCTGTTTATTCTTTGTGTACTCGGTACACAGCAGTAATTTATTCCCTGTCACCTTTTCATTGCTATTATTTCCCATTAATTTTAGAACCTGGGTATGGGTGGTGGTGTCGGTTACAGTAGCATTGTGTAAGACCACTCTGAAGAAATGGCAATGAATATGGGATGGAAAGATCAATCCCAGCCTCTTCCAGTGATTCATCCTGTTGCTATGGCAACTGTTGGTATTAGGGTTGAGGGACAGCCTGCTGCTCACCTCTGTTTGTCCTCACCCACTCTTGGATCGAAACATGTTCAAATGTGGTTTGTTGTGTGTACACAGCTGCTTCAGTGAGATCACACTTTGAGAGCATGACTGACTGCTGTAAGCCAAAACATCCAGAAAAGATGGAAGCTGACTTCTCTTTTTCTGGCTTTCTTAAAGAGCTTGTTTGGAAGAATTCATAGGAGTGAAGTAGTCCAATTAAATAATCTGTATTATTGTTTGTATTTATGTTACAATGCTGCTTTTCTGCTCCAGAATGAATACTTTGTTGGAAATTCTGATGGTCTGATTTTCTGCATTAAGATTTTAAACTTGTGTTATTTCGAGTTGTCTCAGTCTGTAATTAGGCATGAGCTATTCACCTGTACACTGGGAGAAAAATTACATTTCCAAATCAGTAGTGCTTCAGTTGTCTATCAAAATCCTTGGCTGGGCTGCAGCTGTATATGTGGAGCTTTCAATCTTCAGACAGCCTTGTTGGTTCTTCATGTTGTGGTGTTGTCCTCCCTGCTCTCTCCACACCCCAAACAACAAAACTGACCAACCAATTAAAAAAAAGAAAAAAAAGGCAACTAAAAGACCCACCAAAACCCAAACTAAACAAACCCTACCAAAACAAGCACCCATCCTACAGCAGGACTCTTTAAACTTTCTTCACATTAGCAATAAAGGTCTAACGAAACTTTATTGTCTGTTAATGTATAAGGATACATTGTGTGTGAAGGTGATGGGAAATTACATAAGAGTATGTGGGATTTGATATTTAAAATATAATAAATATGGGACAGCTTTCACACTGTATTTTATGTGGCTGTGTTTCCTTTAATATTGTAAACTTATAAAGGCTGGAAAGCTCTGTAAACAAGTAATACCAAAAAATTTTTTGTATTTTAGTTTTGTAAAATGTGTGTGTTGATAGGGAAGAAGGGAGGGGATGACAACTGGAAAGGAAGGCAGTAGCAGGTTGAATTTGAATGAAATCAAGAGAGCAGGAAGGGTCAAGTTTTAATCATTTTCAGCTGTTTGTAAAACAGGATCTGAGCTACGTGTACAGAACCAATAGCAATATCGAAATGACCTGCAGAAAGGGAAGACTTTTGAAAAGGTTTCATCCCAGGCTGTTAGAGAAAGCAAGCTGCCGTAGGATAAGAGGAAGGGTTCAAAGACGGTTAAATAACTGATTAAAAGATAAGAAATAGGAAGCAGGAATAAATAGACACATTTCACAGCAAAAAGAAATTGCCAAGGAAGTCTGCAAGGATCTGTGCCTAGGCCTGTGCTTCACAGTATATTCATGACCTTTTGGGGAAAAGGGCTGCATAAAAATGTGTCAAAGTTTGCAGGTACTGTTCAGAGTAGTAAAGATGACTGAAGAATTATGGAAGGGCCTTACTTCACAGAGTGGCTGGATGATAAAACAGTAGGTGAAATTCAGTGCAGGAAATGTGAAGTAGCAGATATGGCAGAAAATAGTAATTTTCTACCAAGATATAGCTATGACTTTGAAGTAAGGTTAGGGTTTTCATAGATTTTTAAAGGTATCATCTTAATAGAGGTTAAAATTGTAATTCAGATGTTGGGAATTACTAGAAAGCAAATAGAGAAGAAAATAAAGCATTGCTGGTCTGTGTGCCTCTTGAATACTGTGTGTAGTTCTGGTTTCTTCCATCTGAAGCCCAGTGTAGTAAAACTGGGAGAGGTTTTAGAGGACGGTGACAGGAATGATAAGTAGCATGCAACACCTGTATGAGGATAACTAAATAGACTGAAAGGCAGGTGGTTGAGAAGAAATGATAAAAGTCCATAAAATCACAAGTGGTAGAGGGAGAACATGAATAGGGAGTGATTGTTCACTGTGTCTCCTGATACCAGAACTAGAGGTTATTAAATGGAATCTTCATGTGGTGGCTCCTGGCATACAAAATGAGGTGATCTCCACAGGCATGAAGGTGAGCTGTGGCACTCCTCTTTAACAATCCCTTCTCCCTGAAAAAAAAAAGCAACACCAAAACACCCAAAGAAACAAACAAACAAAAAATCTCATTAACATTAAAGTTTACATGACCTGAAAGTAACTGAACTGGTACTTGAAAGATGAATCCCTTAAAGGGTGCTGAATATAAAGACAGCACCTCTGGCTTAGAAAGTCCTTTTGAACCATGAATCGGTGGACACTACTAAGAGCACTGGCAGAGAATCCCTGTATGTTTGTCCAGTCTTGCCTTACCTCCCTGGACTTTTTGTAAGTCAATCTGGGTAAAAGGGGAGAAATCTGGTATATCTGTTATCATTGAAAAGTCTATTATGAAAAGCGCAAATTCGTTCACAATGGGAGCTGTTTAATCCTTCACAAAGCAAATACCAGAGAGCTTCAACAACTGTTCTGACCATACTGTCAGTTGTGAGTGACAGTTACTTGGATTCGGTTTCCTAGATAGATGCATATTTCTGATCTGTGTTTTAATCATCTATTTTCAGTGTTAATACTATTTGAATATCTTCAACCTATTGTTTGAATGACTTGGATAAATGCTGTACAGTTTTCTGTTACAGTTCACAGGCGCTTCTTGTAAGAAAGAGGGAAAAGCTGCTTTTGTTTTTAAGTCTTCATGCTGCTGTGTTGGTAGGTATTCTGGTTTCTGTTCCCGTGTCCTATACATCAAGGCTCAAATCACAGTTTAAATTCTACAGGTTTTGGGCTGGTCATTGCTGAGGGCTGAGAAGAGCTGTGGATGAAGGCTGAGCATGACTGACATGTTCATATTCATCAGAAAACAGTCTGCTGGAGAGAATGAGGGAATAATTGTTGCACTGCTCCCTCCCTCACTGCTTGTGCATAAAGACATAGGCTGCAGTGAGGAAGCTACCTGAGGTTATTAAGATTAATACTGCTAGAAATTCCAATCAACTCACACAAGGCTGCTCCTCAAGGCTGTCAGATGCCTACTGCCTTCTCTGGTTCAGGTGGGGCCACATCAATTTCGAATTTCCCAACAGAGATTGCTATGATTTATGAGTTTAGGAGGCTGATAAATGTGGTTAGTTGGAGTGCTCATGAAATAATTGAATCAGAATAATTTCCATCAGCTGTGCTCAATTTATTTTCTCCTGTAACCACAGGAGGGTGCAGTTTTGGATTGGGAGCTTCATCTCAAGGATTCCTATCACAGGAAAGACATTGTGGAACCTGGAATAAGAGCAACTTAATTTTGCTGCCAGGCCTGTATGACAGCCTTATGAGCTGACTTAAGACCCATCAGAACTGGAGAGTAAGTACCTTGCGCTCTTCTGGTATTGCCTCTGACAGAGACTGAGTCAGTTCTGTTTTATGCATTATGGTATAACATCTGCTGGCAAGAATAATGAGAGTTTTACTATTACTGTTTTAAAAACACTTTACTGTTTAGTTGGGAGGTTGTTGGTTTTTTACACTTGCTTGTAGCAAATTATTTTTTTATATGATGAGTTTTATATATTTTTCACTTCCAGGTTGTGAATTTTTCTGGCGTGGTTATCAGCATCAGTTCTGTCCTTACCATGAAGGGAGTGCTCATGCACCCCTGAAGAGTGTTATGTGAAACTTTTCAAAATAAATTTCTCCCTATGAGTTTATAATTTGTCTGCTGTAACTTTCCTGCGTAGCTGAAAAAGAATCACATTTTGGATGGATTGTCCTAGAAAGCATACTGAATGTAAAGGGCCCTGTAAAACAGGAAGGTGAGCAGGTTAAAGTGTTGTGATGGCTGGTGGAGGTCAGTAGAGAATGGGAAAGCCTAGCAAGCAGAGCTAGGGATGAAGGAGAGCAGGCAAATATTTTCCTGTTGTCATCGTCATGAACAAAATATTTATAATAATCAGAGCTGCAAAGTCAGAGGGGAGGATATGTGGGAAAAGGCAGTGGTTTGGGTGTCCCCCTGTGTGAGTCAGTTCACGTTATCTTTTGAAATGTGCAAACAGGATACAGGCAAAAAATGAACAGGCTATTAGGCCTAGCACTAGTGTAATCCCATTCTGGTAAGTGAATTTTGCTGGTCAGGAAGTTGTCAGTAGACTGGGGAAGGGTTGTCTTCTGTGCTGCTTGGAGCGCAGTTGTACAGTTGCTATCTTCCAGGTCCATTTATCCCATTAGGATTTCTACCTTTGCATTTGGTGTCCTTTCCCTATTGAATTCCTTGAGTTGCTAACATTTCCTGCTGCAGCAGTATTACCTCTCTGTGCAGTTTTATGTTTATCATGTGTGGCTTGTCCCCACAGACTTTTTTACGACCTTTTCTCACAACTCATCAGCTTTTTCAAAAGTCATAAAGTCATACCTATAGCTGGACAGCATGCCAGCTATAGATGACAAAGGGTTGCTGAGAGAGCAGCTTTCTCAGGAGTCCTCCTCTGTGTAAGGTTAAAATGGGCAGGTGTATTCTGTGGTGAGCCAGGTATGTAAGTTGCCAGTAGAGAGGTGCATTACTCTAGATGGTTTGTATCAGCATAGATATCCTGATGATCATATGACATAACCTGGCCTACATGTGAACTGTTCTCTGGGCACCCATGGCTTCTCTGGGCACCCATGACTGAAGAGCTATGGAGGAGGTAATTTTACCATGTGGTGAAGAACAGCCCTACACATGTAGAGGAAGAAATATATCTGCCTGAGCTGTTATTTTCAAAGTTCCCTGGCCTGGGAACCCAAATATTCTAGGATTTTTCATTAACTTAAAGTTTATTTTCTTTTTTATTATTCTTTATCCTGTCCATGATCTTGATTTTGGGGAAGGGGGTGGCAGAATATGGGGGAAACACTAGGATCTGGGAGTGAGGTATTCTGACTGCATAGAAAGATTTGTGACCCTAATGTCAAGTGGTACATGCTTTATAGCCCATTACAGCAGTTTGTGTGGTGGAGCAGATCAGACTTTGGTGTTTCAGACACATCAAACAGCAGTATTGAGGAAGCAGCTGGTGCACTCAGTTTGTATTGGAAAGTTAGTGATACACTGAATAACAGAGTCCTGTTAAAATTCAGCTACCCAAGTTTGATGACTTTTCTGTGAGTATATATTAATTCCAGGAATTAATTCCTGGTGGTTCTTTTGTCCCTAACGGTGGTTCTTTTGCTTCCAAATAATTTGGTACCACCCCAACATACTGTAACTTATTTCTGTAAATTTTGTAAATGCCTGTTTTGTATAGCTTAAAGAATGTCCTATGGGGTCCAGGATCTCTTAGTGACATGTGCTCAGTATTGTGGCAGCATTATCCTGTCCAGGTGTATAGGATTAAGTAAATTAACTTAAGAGAAAAATGTTGCTTAAGGCTTTACCTTCTTCCCTTTTTCACTGTCAGCAGTTAGGAAGATGCTTCAATGAGTAACTCTTACTGAATCTCCTTGCTGAGGTCTCCTTGCCGTGAAATGTAAGGTGTATCAGAGAAGGGTGAGGAGGACATTTTGGAAAATCTGCTGCTTAGTCAGGATGTGCATATAAACTACAGAACATTTTCCAAATCAAATTTGGATTTGGCACTTAGCATAAAATCAGGGCACAGAGTAACTACTGTCTGTGCAGAAAATATTAATAGAAAAAGTCCAGATTACGGTAATGCATTCTGTGTGTGAGTAAAGAACAGTAGAAGGGCACGTGGCAGGACTGTCTCACTTGTGGTTTTGCTTCTACTGCTGTGAAAAGCATTTTCAATACTTGCATAATTTAGAGCATGACATTATGATTTTCAGAGCTTCAAACTGGAGTAAAGCATTTACATAATCTAATTAAATCATATAAATGTTTTATAATAATAT